CCTGTGACCCCCACAGCCCTCCCCCGTGGCTCCCAGGGGCACCAGCAGTGGGGAGGGGGCCAGGGTAACGCCCTGTGGGAGGGGCCAGCACAGCTCCAGTATCAGCTGTGAAACCATGGCTGAAGGGAGCGAGGGTGCTGTTTTGTGCTTGGGAAGGCCTCTCCGAAGTGGGAGAGCTGAACAGATGATAGAGAGGCAAGAGCTGGCTTCTGGAAGGACAGAGAAGGCGGTCCGGGCGGAAGGCTAGCTGAGGGGCCGGGGCGGGGGCCGGGCAGGAACCTGGGATGGATCCCATCGAGGGGAGAAGTTTGAGCAGGGAAGGGACAGGTCTGAGGGTCCTCCCTTTGCTGTTCCCTCATCCCAGGTGCCCTTCCCTGCAGCCCAGCCCAGACCCTCTAGGGTTCGGGCCGTGCCTGCCCCAAGCCTGGCGCGCTGTGGTGCTTAGTAAGTTGCTTCCTCTGAGCCCAGCCCCCACCAGAGCCCGTCTCCAGGGGCTGGAGGCCGCCTGCAGTGCCCCGGTGCCGGCTCAGCTACTCAGAGCGCCAGCCCGGAAGCATTGGGGCTGGTGGCCCGGGCCACGGGAGACAGGCAGTGCTGCCAGGCGGGCTGCTGGGTGGCAGGCATACGGGCAGAATAGTGGAGGCCTCGCCGATACTCCGGGGCCTGACTGTCCATGAACAGGAGAGAGAGAGAGAGAACAAGAAGAGGGAGCGAGAGAGAATGAGAAACGGGGAGGGGCACGTATCGGAGAGAAAGCCAGTTGAGAGGGAGACGGACTCCAGCGAGGGAGCAGAGAGAGGGGCAGCCAGAGCCCTGCAGGCAGAGAGAGAGAGAGAGAGAGAGAGAGGGAGGGAGGAAGGGAGGGTGGTGGGAGGGCGGGTGAGAGGCTGAGAGGGAAAGAAGGCACAGCTCCTCCCGGGTCATGCGTGCCTGGTGCCCGTGTGCGGAGAGGGCGGGTCCAGGTGGTAAGGGAGCACGTGGTGGGGAGGGACTTGGGCACATGGGCACCCGGGGGGGGGGGGGTCAGGGCCTGGGCACAGCCAGCCGCACACAGGTCTGCATGGAGCGGACAGACGGTGCCGGACGGGCCCCTCAGGAAGTGGTCTGACGGGGAGCAGTGGCACCTAAATAACCACACAAATGGAGTCTGATGGTTCAGCGCAGGCCTCGGGCGGGGTGGGGCTGAGGTGGCGTGACAGATCACTAGGAGGAAGGGGGGCTGAGGAATGGGGGGGCAGAGGAGGCCTCAGGCACAGCAGCAGCAGGTGCCAGGCCCGGGCCACCCTGGCTTCTCTGTCTGTGCCACGCCTGGGCACTGGGGAGCGTGGCACACCCAGCGGACCTGCCACGTGGGCGTGGGAAGCTGCAGGGAGCTGAGCGGGCGGGAGGGCAGGGCAGGCGCTGGCTCCTCAGGTGGATGGGCCTCGGACCCCCAAAAGGAGGGTGATGTGAGTGGGGGACAGGGGGGAGGGCTCCAGCCCGCTCTGCCCACCTGCCCTGCCAGGGACCCACCAACCGCAGCCACCAGCCCTCGGCCAGCCGTGGGGGCACTGCCAGGCGGGCGGAGATGGCGGCCACGCCGGAGAGGAAGGCGCCCTGAATTAATCTGTCACTGAGGCTGGGCCGTGGCAGGCGCCGTCATGATTTAGATGAATAATTGAAACGCTCCGATACATTTATTATCCCTTTAGTGCGCAAGTGGCAGAGAAAGACGAGGGGTAATTGAAAAAGCGCGCACAAATCTCGGCGAGAAAGCCGGCTGCTTATCGCCAAGCAAACATTTCAGTCCTAATAAACAGAGGGACACACGTCAGGGCCCTGTCGATCCGGCCTGATTTAGGGTCCGCCTCCCTTCTTACCATACAATGAGAGTGTTTAAAAATATTATTTTACCGAGACAGTAAAAGGCTCTCCGAGGGAGGAGGGAGGAGGAAGAGGGAGGAAGGAGGGGGGAGGGGAGAGGAGGAGGGAGGAGGGGTGAGGAGGAGGGAGGAGGAGGGAGGAGGGAGGAGGGGTGGGGAGGAGGGGGGAGGAGGGGAGAAGGAAGAGGGAGGAGGCTTGTTAAATGCCCGGAAGGCTGGGCAGGTGGGCGGGTGGTGGTGGGAGGATGGTGGGTAGATGGGTGGATGGCTGGGCAGGTGGGCGGTGGTGATGGAAATGAATGGGTGGGCGGGTGGTGATGGGAAATGGATGGGTGGGCGGGTGGTGATGAAAGGAGGGTGGGTAGATGGGTGGATGGCTGGGCAGTGGATGGGTGGTGATGGGAGGACAGATGGGTGGGTGGGTAGATAAAAGGGTGGTAACAGGAGACTTGGGGGTGGATAAAGGCCTGAACCCCTCCTGGTGGGAACTTCTGGGGTCCATCTGGGCGGCGTCAGGTAGGGTCCCCGGCCCCCAGCCCTGGGCTGCTCCTCCCTAGTAGGCTAAGGGGGTGGACCTGGCCTGACCAGGGTGGTGAGGGCACAGGGGACAGAGGTGAAGGCAGAGATGTCCCGGCACAGGGCACCCTCTCCCTCCTGGTCCAGCCTCACCCCTACCCCGGACACCCCCCCCCTCCATCTGCTCCAATCACATTAGCGGAGTGACAGCCCAGCCTCACCCCTGCCCTGGTCCCCCCCCCCCCCCTCCACCTGCTCCAATCACATTAGCGGAGTGACAGCCCGGCGAGTCCTGGCAGCTCCATCAATCTCCGCGGCGCTAAAAGGCTGGACTCCGGGCCCACTTCCTCCCGGGCCCCCTCGCCCCATCCATCTCGGCGTCAGTCAGGTTGCACCGGGGGCTGCCGAGCCTCCTCTCGCCCTCGGTGACGCAGGAAGGGGGGTCAGAGGGACCCCAGCATGCCTCCCTCTTTAGGCTGGCCAGAGCAGGTGCCCTTTGACCTCCCGGAGTGAGGCCACGCCCGCCGGGCCCGGAACCGCAGTGGCTCCCCGGCACCTCAGGCCTCCCCTCCCGCCTGCGCCGCGGGCCGTTCACTCGCTCCCGGCCGCTCCGCTGGAGACAGTCCTGCCTCCGAGCCGTTGCTCCGGGCAGACGGACCTCAAACAGGGAGCACAGTCCGCGGGAGGCTGTCTGGCTGGGGAGGGAGAGGAGCCGACGGAAAAGGAAACCTGGAGCCCTGAGGGCCTGGGAGGCAGGCGGGTGGCTGCAATTTCACGTAGGGGTGAGGGGCCTCGGAGCAGGGGTGTGAGCTGGGGTGGTAGAGGGGAAGGGAGCAGCTGTGGCTGTCTGAGGAGGAGCCGTCTGGGCAGGCGGCTCAGCATGCAAAGGCCCCCGGGCAGGCGCGGGCCGGGCCCTGCGGGAAGGAGGCCAGGCCGGTGTGGGCGCAGAGCAGGGAGGGCCGGGCGGTGTGGTGGGGGCCTGAGCGGTGTCTGGAGGCCGGTGTGGGCGCAGAGCAGGGAGGGCCGGGCAGTGTGGTGGGGGCCTGAGCGGGGTCTGGAGGCCGGTGTGGCAGAGTGGGGAGGGCCGGGCGGTGTGGTGGGGACCTGAGCGGAGTCCGGGGAGCAGGGAGCAGGGCTCTGAGCGAGGTGAGAGCCCTGGCAGCGTTTTGAGAGGAAGAGGGGTGTGACGAGACCTAGGAGTGAGAAGGCCCGCCCCTTTCTGTGATCCTTGGCTTTGGACACAGAATGCCTCACACTCCAGCCCCTCAGGTGGTCTCCCTTCCCCTTCCTCCTCCCTCCTCCCTGCTGGGCTCTGACGTGTCCCATCTGCCGAGCTTCCCCCAACCCCCATGTCTGTCTCACGCCAGGGTCCACCACTGGTCCCCTTGCCCAGAACACCCTTCCCACTGCTCTCCCGGCTCTCCCCGCCCGCAGGCACCGCCTCCTTCCTGGAGCCCGCTGATGCCCAGGCTGGACAGCTCTCCTGGCCGAGCCCCCACCGGGCCTGTGAGCGCCCCTCACCACCTGTGCAATGGCGGGTGCTCTCATCGGGCCTGTGAGCCTAGAGGGCGGGGACCAGGCCCCTCCTGTGCCCAGTGGGTCTGGCTGGCACCCGGGCAGGGCCCAGCACTCAATAGGCGCTCCATCATTCGGTGACGAATGAACGACGGGAGGGTGGCTGTGGGCAGAGCGGGCCTCAGGGCCCTCCGAAAGGACCGGCTTCGGAGGAGGGTCCCAGGGGCCTGTCTGCGGCCCCCCTCCCGCGAAGCCCCTCATCCTGGGAGGCCTCGGGGCGGCTGTGACCTCCACAGCGACAGCTGGAGGAGAAGGGGGAGGGAGGGAAACAGCGCAGCCAAACAGCCCCGCATCCTGGCTGCTCTTATTCATCCTGCCCCTCCTGCCCCTCTCACTTCCCCCCTTTGACAGCCGGCCTGGGCCGCCACCGCTGCCGTAAACACCGCCCGGGATTTATCCCGCCGCGCATTAACCCCTGCCCCCCGCCTCGCCAATCATCCCGCCGCGCAGACATGGCGGCTCAGCCAGCACCAGGGCTGGGGCAGTGGGCACGGCGGCGGGGGAGTCGGGCCCCGGGGCACCTGCTGCCCACCTGGCCCTGCGGGGACGGCCTCCCTGGCTCCGAGGCCTTGGCCTGCTAAGGCCACCGTCCAAGGTTTCGGAGCAGAACACGGACGGCGATTTTTCCTCCCCCGGGGAAACTGAGGCCAGAGGGCAGGCAGGATCCAAGGCAGGGCTGGGCTTTTCCCTCCTCCCCTGTTACCCGCCAGTCCCTGGCCCCTTCCAACCTCACATCCCCCCCCACCCCAGCCACAGACCACAGGCCTCGTCAGAGGGGGGGACCTGCCCAGGCCGCCCGGCAGGGAGGCCCGCCTGCCACAGGCTCCTGAGTGTGTCTAAGGCGATGGCAGCAGACAAGGCCGAGAGGGGGGCAGGAAAGAGGGGCAGATGCAGGCGTGGGGCACTGTGGGGCAGTGGGGAAGCTGTGGCAGTAGCTAGGCCCCGGGCCCCGGGGAGAGAAGCAGCTGAGGGGGAGTGGCATCTCCCCCCACCCCCTTGTTCCCCCCACATACCCTCAGACCACAGGAAGGGTCAAAGGTCACTCACCACCGCCGCCTCCAAGCAGGGAGCTGTTGGCTGCAAGAGAGAGAAAAGGCGGTCAGGTGGGGCGTCAGGTGGGGCGTCAGGTGGGGTATCAGGTGGGGTGTCAGGTGGGGTGTCAGGTGGGGCGTCAGGTGGGGTGTCAGGTGGGGTGTCAGGTGGGGTGTCAGGTGGGATGTCAGGTGGGGTATCAGGTGGGGCGTCAGGTGGGGCGTCAGGTGGGGCGTCAGGTGGGGCGTCAGGTGGAGTGTCAGGTGGGGTATCAGGTGGAGTGTCAGGTGGGGTGTCAGGTGGGGTGTCAGGTGAGCAGGCTGTGCGGAGGGTGGAGACGGGCTGCCAGCTGGGCCTTCAGGCTCTGAGCACAGTGTCCTCGGAGGGAGGCAGGTGAGGGGAGGTGAAGGGCGGGGGCTCCTGTGGGCCTCGGTTTGTATGGCGGTGAGGGGGGCCACGGAGCTGCCAGGGTCCTGCCCGCTGCACGTGGGGCTAGAGTGGCAGTCGACCTGCGGCCACCAGTGTCCACTGCGTTCGTTCACTCACTCACTCATTCACTCACTCATTCACTCACTCACTCATTCACTCACTCATTCTCTCAGTCATTCACTCACTCACTAATTCACTCATTCACTCACCCATTCACTCACCCATTAATTTATTCACTCACTCATTCACTCACTCACTCATTCGCCCATCGGTGCAGGCGGGGGTGGCGATGTGGACAAACAGGCTGCTGAGGGTCTCAGGCGGAAGCCACTGGAACTGTGGCTGCAGCGGGCAGGTCTGAGTGTGGGGAGAACCTGAGAGGGAGGATGCAGTAAGGGCCCAGTTTCGGGCAGCGCAGTGAGGGCCCGGAGAATGGGGCCTGGACCCAAAGCCGGGTCAGTAGGTGGGTGACTTGAGCCATGGTCCTCTGTGCCTCAGTTTCCCCAGGGAGAATTGGCCACCTTCCAGGGTTGATGTGAAGCAAGGGAGCTCCCACCCGGGCCCTTCCCTCGACCAGAGCGGGACTGCCAGCGCCCGGCTGCCCGGTCCACCTCGCTCTGCCCGGCTGCCCGCCCCTCCCCCCTCCGCAGGCTGACGGGGCAAAGGGAAGCGGGCAGCCTCCGCCGACGTCAGGCTGTTCAAGCCAGCGGCGCCCCCCCAGCAGCTCCAGCTCTGGCCACACAGGTATCAGGGCGGGTCCCTGGCCCAGGTGCTGCCATGGGAGGCCAGCTGTGCCCCAGGCCCTGGCCCCAGGAGCCCTGGCTCCCAGCAGGCCTTCAGCTCCTGCACCAGCGGGCGCCCCCCCTCCCTCTGTGTGAGGGGACCCCCTCCCTCTGTGTGAGGGGACCCCCCTCCCTCTGTGTGAGGGGACCCCCCTCCCTCTGTGTGAGGGGACCCCCCTCCCTCTGTGTGAGGGGACCCCCTCCCTCTGTGTGAGGGGACCCCCCTCCCTCTGTGAGGGGACCCAACCCCCTCTGTGTGAGGGGACCCCCTCCCTCTGTGTTGGGGGACACGTTGCAGAGCCGGGAGGAGCGGGGCCATTTCCGGCTGGTCGGCCGGCCGGGCGGGCGGTGCCAGGGGAAGCGCGGGCGCGCTAAGTGGTGCGGCGGCTCCGAGTGGCTGGTCTCGGGCTGACAGCTCCTCGCTCGGGAATAATTAATCCGCAGCCTGAAAACCCGGGGCTGCGAGTTGCCACGTTACTTGCCAGATTAATACGAGCAGCTAATTAAGATGGAGCGGAGCAGCGGCTGGCGCTCCCAGAGCAGGGCCGTGGGCCACGGGGACTCGGGGGCGGCGAGCAGCTGGGGTGGCTCCTGGGAAAGCAGGGGGGGGCCGCGGGGACCCCAGCTCACAGGCCCCAGCACACACCCCCAGCACACAGGCCCCAGCGCACACCCCCAGCACACAGGCCCCAGCACACACCCCCAGCACACACCCCCAGCACACACCCCCAGCACACACCCCCAGCACACACCCCCAGCACACACCCCCAGCACACAGGCCCCAGCACACACCCCCAGCACACACCCCCAGCACACACCCCCAGCACACAGGCCCCAGCACACACCCCCAGCACACACCCCCAGCACACACCCCCAGCACACAGGCCCCAGCACACACCCCCAGCACACGGGCCCCAGCACACACCCCCAGCACACACCCCCAGCACACACCCCCAGCACACACCCCCAGCACACACCCCCAGCACACAGGCCCCAGCACACACCCCCAGCACACAGGCCCCAGCACACACCCCCAGCACACACCCCCAGCACACACCCCCAGCACACAGGCCCCAGCACACACCCCCAGCACACAGGCCCCAGCACACAGGCCCCAGCACACACCCCCAGCACACGGGCCCCAGCACACACCCCCAGCACACAGGCCCCAGCACACACCCCCAGCACACACCCCCAGCACACAGGCCCCAGCACACAGGCCCCAGCACACACCCCCAGCACACACCCCCAGCACACACCCCCAGCACACACCCCCAGCACACACCCCCAGCACACAGGCCCCAGCACACACCCCCAGCACACAGGCCCCAGCACACACCCCCAGCACACACCCCCAGCACACACCCCCAGCACACACCCCCAGCACACACCCCCAGCACACACCCCCAGCACACACCCCCAGCACACAGGCCCCAGCACACAGGCCCAGCACACACCCCCAGCACACACCCCCAGCACACACCCCCAGCACACACCCCCAGCACACAGGCCCCAGCACACACCCCCAGCACACAGGCCCCAGCACACACCCCGAGCACACACCCCCAGCACACACCCCCAGCACACAGGCCCCAGCACACACCCCCAGCACACAGGCCCCAGCACACACCCCCAGCACACACCCCCAGCACACACCCCCAGCACACACCCCCAGCACACAGGCCCCAGCACACACCCCGAGCACACACCCCCAGCACACACCCCCAGCACACAGGCCCCAGCACACACCCCCAGCACACAGGCCCCAGCACACACCCCCAGCACACACCCCCAGCACACACCCCCAGCACACACCCCCAGCACACACCCCCAGCACACACCCCCAGCACACACCCCCAGCACACACCCCCAGCACACACCCCCAGCACACAGGCCCCAGCACACAGGCCCCAGCACACACCCCCAGCACACACCCCCAGCACACAGGCCCCAGCACACACCCCCAGCACACACCCCCAGCACACACCCCCAGCACACAGGCCCCAGCACACCCCCCCAGCACACACTCCCAGCATACACCCCAGCACACACCCCCAGCACACCCCCCCAGCACCCCCCAGCACCCCCCCCAGCACACACCCCCAGCACCCCCCCCAGCAGCCCCCCAGCACTCCCCCCAGCACCCCCCCAGCACACACCCCCAGCACACACCCCCAGCACACACTCCCAGCACACACACCCAGCACACACTCCCAGCACACACACCCAGCACCCCCCCCCAGCACACACCCCCAGCACACACCTCCAGCCTCCCCCAGCACCCCCTTCAGCACACTCCTCCAGCACCCAGGCCCCAGCACACCTCCCCAGCACCCCCGCCCCAGCACCCCCCCCAGCACCCCCTCCCAGCACACCCCCCCAGCACCCAGGCCCCCGGAAGGCGTGTTTGCCCGCGGAGGCCTGCTCACCAGGAAAACCCGGGAAGAGTCCGGTTGAGCCGCACAGGAGGGAGGGAGCAGGATTGGAAGTGGGTCTGTCTGGCCCCGAGGCAGACTGCCTGCCCGAGGCCTGGCACAGGGCGGCCCCCCCGGGCCCGGGCCCGGCTGGCCCCCTCCCCGCCACGGCGGAGCCCCCCAGCAGGTCTGAGTGCAGAGCTGGGGCCGGCACCGGGACAGCCCTGCCCCAGAGCCACAGGGGCATCTGGGGCTCAGGGGGTCCAGCCCCCAGCGCCGAGGTCCTCAGGGCGGTCCTGGCCCAGGCTGGGAAGCCGCCCTCCACGGCCCTCCCCACCTCCCCCATCACCTCTCTCTTTATTAACACCGGCTGCAAACGAGCTGGCTCCGCGGAGGGCTCCGGGCCAAATGGGTTGGCAGGGAGCCTTGACGGGGCAGGAGGGGAGGGGGCACCGACCTGACGCTCTGCAGGCCTCTGCGGGGGGCAGTGCCACCCCCACCTGTGTGACCCAGCCCAGGAGAGGGAAGGGGGGGGGAGCTGTCTGGTGCCTGCCAGGGGCCAGGAGCAGGCCTGGGCCGGAGGAGGCTCTCCCAGGCTGAGCTGGGAGGCAGCCTGGGGGCATCACCCGCCACAGGTGGGAGCCAGGCGGGGCCGCTGCACAGAGGATGGTCACCGGCCTGTCCCCGGCTCAGCAGGGGTCCCCGGAGGCTGGTCTGCAGGGCCCTCGCCCAGCCCAGCACACTCGGAGTCCACGGGTGGGGACGCAGGGGAAGGGCAGTGACCCTGGGCCCTCCCCTGCTCTCCCCTGGCCCGTGTCCGGCTCTCTCCCAGGTTCCCGGCCGCCTGGCCGCCCGGACTGCCATCGGCTGACCGAGATGCTCAGCTGGACCAGATCCCCGGGGCCAATGGCCTGGGGGTTTGGGAGGATGCTGCAAAGGGGGGACAGTGCCAAAGACACCAACGGGCACCCCTGGGTGTGCCCTCAGCTCCTGATGCCGCCCTGCGCCCCTGGCTCCTGCCGCTCCTGCCCCTCTGTTCCCCGCAGTTGGGTTTCGGGCTCCAGTAGCAACGGGGGATCAGCCCATTTCTCAGGCGAGAAACGGGGCTCACGGAGGGAGTGGGGCGTGGGGGAGGGGCTGGAACAGGACAGCTGGCTGTCGGCCCTCATTTGCTTCGCTCCCCCGGCCCCTCCCCTCCCTGAAGGGGCTCCTCGCACCTCACAGCGGGAGCCCGGGGGTGGCTGAGCCGTGGGGTGTGGGAATGAGCCCCCGATTCCAGCCTAAGCCACGGGTCTGACTGGCTCTGCCCAAGGGGCCCCCACCCGCCCCAGCAAAGCTCTGTGAGCTGGGGGGGGGAGAGGGGCTGGGTCAGGCCTCACCTGGGCCCAGGGAGGGGAGGGGGCTTGGCTGGCTTTGCAGG